CTAAACTTTGATCCAGTCGAGGCGAAACGGAAGCGTTGTCAGTCTACGTTGAACTTTGTTCCCGTCACGATAGTATGTTTTTAAATTCTAAAACGTTTGCAATTATTTGCATATTTACTCACAATTGAATGTAATGACAAGTGTGCAATACGATAGTGCGATAAAAGCGCGTGCGTCAAGACGTGCCTCTTTGCAGGCATGTGCTCTGTGCAGCTAACACGAATCCAATATCTATTAATATGTTTTGAAAGACTTCAAAACTCTTTAAACTTCTCATTTCATACGATTATATATTTTCATTACCGATAACGATCTTCATTGTCAAAAGAAAAATATTACAAAAATTAGTATACATATATATAATACATTACATTGCAACGTAAATAATTTTAATTATACCTAATGTAATTAACATCAATGTATAAATTGAATTGTCGTTAAAATCGATATCCGAATAAATTATTAACTTTGAACGGATTAATTCGCGCATGCTTTAATTTCAAATAACATTTACGAATGAATGTCTCTCTGCGCAGAATACCGTTTCAAGTGTATCGATCAACTTTTGAACGAATTAAAAAAAAATCAATGGGGCTTGAGGTCGCGTCAGTCTGAGGTGCCTTTAACAGATACGGCGGTGCTCTTTATTCTCCCCACACTCTTTGATCTAACCGACGCGATCACGTCACTATCGCGTTCTCTATCCTACCGCCGTGCGGTGCGTGAGTGTGTGTACTCAAACCTGACGTTCATTTGCAGGATTCGAAGCAGTAGTCAGCCAGACTGCAGCAAGAGCAATACGTCAGTCATGTCGAGCTTGAAGCGCGATCAGCTGGGCCAACGAGGAAGCGGCGACGCGCAATGCGCCGGTCTTTTGCGTGGCCTCGACCACATACGGGATCCACAGTTGAACAAGGTAGGCTTTATACACAACGCAATAAACTATAATTGTTATTCGTCATGCGTTCGGAATGAAATAATCACTCGTAACATGTATCATCGTTGTATGCGATCGACGTATTTTGATTTTCAATTAAAAGCCAGCTGTGAGTTAACACAGTGTGGAAATTTACCGCGAGTAGAGAAAACTAACGAGTGACTCGAATTTTTATGAAATAAAGAACATTAATTTTAGCACGCTTTTGATCTTTTTATTATCAGCGATAAACGGATATTTATATTTCTATCGAATGAGCATATGTCGTCCTAAAATATCGATATTTGCGCGACTAATCACATAGAGTCTACCGAGAGAGATAGAAAGAAACGCTTTCATCAGATACTTGGATCTGATTCAAGAAAATAAATAGAGAAAAATGGCAACGTGACGTAGCACGTCTAAAATCCGCAGCTTCTAAGATCACGCCATGCCGTACAGAATAGAGATGTGAGAATACATCAGCTGATTTCTGTCAAAGTCGTTTTACTCTGGATTGAAAAATTTCAGGCCGATCTAAACAGAATTTCTTATTGTGACTTTGATTTTGTGTCATATCACCTGAAAAAATGAATCAGTTGTTAACACAATCTTTATGAAATACGATGAGAAAACACTCGACTGAAATTTGCAAATCAATAATTCATACGTAACACTTTAATCATTTATACTGAACAAAAGTTCTACAAATATTTTTATTGGAACTTTTAAACTTTGCTACGTACAATTACGCGTGGCAAATTAAAATATCATTCGACAGCAAATTACAGAATGACTTCGCAAAGTTCTCGTTCTTCGAGCCACGCTTGCGCAATCTCGAAACACCAAGCAGCTTATTTACAAACTGGTACGGCTTAGTTTTCGAATTTTCACTTGAAATTCTTTAACTGGAAATTGAGTTTCAGTCACGTTTAAGTATTCTGTAAGATAGAGATTTTAATCTTTTATAAAAAGTAAGAGTTTGTCTCTTTTTTTAGCTACTTAAACATGATAGTAAAATATTAAATCATCAATTTAGAAAGTTATTCAAGAGTGATTCTAATCATTATTGTCATTGGTTCTAAGAAATTAGTTTAATAAATGCTTTTCACGATACCATTCATAAAATAGTCGAAATTTATAAATTAGCTTCAATTAATTAAATTGTGAGAAAATCATGGAAAAGTAAAAAAAAAATCAAATTTTGTTTAAAACTGGCGTTTTTCGTTACGATCGTTCTATATTATTTATAACGCTGCTTGGCGACTGGTCTCGTTTTACAATGCATCGGGTATACGTAATCTTTGCGGTAGGTCACGAAGTCACTTTATATTCAAGAATGCAAGAATAGGGCGGCCTATCGATCCGTACACAGGCCGAAGGGCCGCCGTCACGGGAGTCAAGAACCCCGGCAACCGTTTCCACGGTCGGTTGTTTGTCATAGGATGCGAAAATCCCGCAGAAAAGTTCCGTGATAGTGCGCCGAGATAATGGAGACGGATTGGTGGAACCTCGTTCCGGATCGAAATCGTACTCCGCGCGTTCCTGAAACTCTGCTCGCTCTGGATGGAAGGGTATTCTTGCTTGTCCGATTTTTTACGGTTTTATTATGACTCAAGTCTGCACACTTTCTCTTTTTCAATTCTCGTCAAAATATTAACTTTCCTTTCTTAATGATTGTCGTCTTAACTTTTATTTTAGGCCTCTATTTTAGCGTAAGATTTATTTATGTGGTTGTATTTAATAATTTGAGGCTTATTTATTGTTTGTTGATGAAACAGAAATTTGGATTTTAACATCTACATAATTAATTCTGATTGATTTTAAGATTCTTCACTTAATTTATTTTTGTCTCCTTGTTAATTTAATATCTGGAAATACAATTATAATGTTAGTTGTCAATTATCATGGTAGGAAATATATAAGGTTTACATAAATATATTAACAATTAATCGTGAATTTCTAGAAATATACTGAGATATAAAATATTCCCGCATACGGTCGTATATGACCTCGGTATTATCAACTTACGACTTACATTTAGGCACGAATATACAGCAATAATTGTATTTTATCAAAGAAGCATAACTCAGATATTCAAATTATTACATTAAGTAACGTGAAAAAATTCTAAGCATATTTTAAAACTAATCAAATTTTAAATGAAAATAATTTTGTGCAAATATTTTTATATATTTTTTTAAATGACGAAATATGAAAAGTTGAGTTGATTTCCCTTTGATTTGTTGTATTTCTAAAATTTGGAAAGTTTTAAAAATGATAACTTTTGTTTAACTGATTTACATTTTACAAATTAACTTGTTAATAAAGTTTCACTCAATTGTTAATTTTAAACCTAAGAATAATGGTATAAAATATTTTGCTTGAATGACATATAAGAGTGACAAACTTTAGATAGAATTAGTCTTTGTTTTACGGTGCACATTAGCAGGTAAAAAAAAAATGGGCCCACCTAATGGAAAAGTACAGGCTCGATTGCAGACGTTGATCTGTGTCTGTTGAATTAGATCCAATTGCAATTCGCTCTGCTGACTGTCGCATATTTCGAAAAAGATTGTCTTTCGAAAGCATGCTTGAAATATTGCTATACCTGACAATACTTAGCTTGAGGGAATTCGGAATTGTCAAATAATTTAATTTTCTCACAAAGATTTCTCTAAGTTCTATTTTTTCTGAAAAATTATTCTTATATAACAAAAAAAAAGGCAGATACTACTATCATTACGCTAGATATGTTATCACATTGCATATTCGCACTCCATGACTACGCGATATGACAATACAGTGCTATCGATAACAAACATATAGATATATCACAGAAGAATTGCAATATATTTTTCCAAAAATTTCAGGACGTTTAAAAATTGCGAAACTTCCCGAATTCGGTTGCTTTCTTTGTATTTTTTATGTCTAAATAATTCGAATTTTTTAACAAATATTTTTGCACATAAAGGATTCAAGTAATTAATTAAATTACTAAGAAGGGATCATCTATAGATTGTGATTAAGGAGCTCATAAATAGAAGGAACAGAGAGAATATCAGTATATTTTTATTCTGTATATTTTTAATAATAGCATTGCTAATTTCTTATGAAAACAGCAGGATGATCAACGCGAAGTGCAGTTATCAAAGGAAACGCTGCAGACAGTTCAATTATTATTGATGTCAGAATGAATTGATTTGATTATCACGTAGCATTCGCGCGAATAATACATCAGCTCGCTGAACTTTTCCGGCGTTCGAAGGTGAAATCATTTCGCCAACTATCGCGGTTCATCAACCGCAGTCAGATAAGTCGGTCGGATAACAAAATCACCTCATAAATTACGTCTTTCAGAGTACTGGCATTTTATTAATCGAAATATTTCTCATTTCATTTTACGTCATTCCCGTTATTCTGCGCGATTCTGCAATTGTAAGTTCTTTATGATTAATTTGTCAATTTTATTTTTCTCTTGATGTTAAACTGTGACCTAAAAAAATGTTGAAAAAAATCATCCTAAGTAAATGAATAATAACTATATATAGTGTTTTATCTCTCTTCGAGCTTCTATTTTTGCAATATTGATTTGCAGTTTATTCTAAAATTCATAAATTTTTAAAATTTTATAGTAATGCAGTGCACTCTGTTAATGATAAACTGATGCAATAAATGTTAATCTAAGTTAATGAGGAGATCGCGTCCAAAGTGCAAGCGCGAATATTTCTTAAATTTTGATGATGGAATAACGTATTGACAGCAATTATTTAATTAATTGGTATTTCATTATCTGGCACAGTTTTACATTCGCTTTAAAAAGCATTCGCAGTGTCCTTGTAAAATACAATTACGTCACCGAGTCGAGAGTGAATACTTTATTCATAGTTCATATAAATATATAAAGAAGTGCACTTTATATATGTTACGCAATTTTTCTACGTTGTATATTAAGCTGTAATTTATGTATAGTGATAAATTAAGAATTTATAATGTGCATTTAAAATACAGTTTTTAATTCAGAGTTATATGGGATGTTCAATAAATCATTGTATAACCGACAAGGATTCTTCATAAACAAAAAACAAACAAAAAATATAAATGTTTTATGCATATGAATGGATAATTTATTGTGTGTGTGTTTCAAATTTTATGGGTTAATTTAATTTTTACATAACGTCATGTATTCCAATTAATTTAATCTAAAAGCTTGATTAGATATAGCTATATTGCCGCCGGCATTATAACGATGTTATCCTTGCCAGCGAATGTGGATTACGAGTCCACGTTTAAATAAAAGTCCCGAGGGTGATTTCTGATATACATACGTGTCACCCGAGTTGCTTCCATCACCGGATCTCACCGTGATTGGATTTTACCGCGTATCGTGATCAACGTATTTGCAAAAATTAAAGTGGGACGATGATCGGCTGATCACTTTTCACCCACTCTCATTACGATTGCACAGTCAGCAATGTTGAGTGTCATCCTTTTAATTGCGGTCGGAGTCAAAGTTATCAGAATCAATGATATCGAATACACTTGTCTGTCCTTGCTAATTGACCAGAGATTAAAAATGATTCGTAATAGAGAAAAAATAGCGATAACGTGCGCGTGATATACAAATGTTTTATGTATCTTATAAAAATAAAATATAGAAATAGATAGAAATGATTGAATTTAAATACATTTCAATGTCAATAGAAATTGGAAGCCGAATTGCTGGTTTTTCTTCCGGTATTTGTATTTCGATTTTTTTGAAATAATAATTAATAAAAAATAAACGCGATCTTATCACGTTACAGGGCATGGCATTCACTATCGAGGAGAGACAAGTTCTAGGAGTACACGGTCTCTTGCCGGCGGCTGTGAAAACCCAAGACGAGCAACTAGAGCTCTGCCGCCTTAATCTGGAGCGCTACACGGACGATCTCTCGAAATACATATATCTCATAGGCCTACTGGTACATGAACACGGGCGATTATCGCTTGATCGGGGACGTTAATTAGTCCGCCTCCCGCTTGATCAGGCCGCACGTTCTCTCTCACGTTGATTTTTCACACAGAGTCTTGTGTTCCTTAGGACAGAAACGAGAAGCTCTTCTACCGTTTGTTGGTAGAAGATGTAAGTAAAATGATGCCGCTGGTGTACACGCCAACTGTGGGTCTGGCGTGTCAGAAATTCGGTCTGGTTTATCGCAGGCCGCGCGGTCTCTTTATAAGCATCCACGACAAAGGGCATGTCTATGACGTTCTGAAAAATTGGCCCGAGCACGACGTACGGGCGATCGTCGTCACGGACGGCGAGAGGATATTGGGACTGGGCGACCTGGGCGCCCACGGCATGGGCATTCCCGTAGGAAAGTTGTCGCTGTACACTGCACTGGCTGGCATCAAGCCTAATCAGTGCCTGCCTATCACTTTGGACGTCGGCACTAATACTCAGGTGTGTGATAAGTTACATTTTCATTATACTTTCGCCGTTTATCGACAGAAGCTACATATAGAACGAGCTGTCTCTGAGAAATATATTTCTTGATGTGCGTAAATCTCGTGTCGATTTTTTAAAATTAAAATTTACGTGTGAAATTTGAATTTCATGCTCTTCTTGCAGTCTTTATTGGACGATCCCCTGTACATCGGTCACAGACACAAACGTGTCACCGGACTCGAGTACGACGAGTTCCTGGACGAATTCATGGAGGCCGTCGTGAAGCGATACGGGCCGAACACGTTAATTCAGTTCGAGGACTTTGGCAACGCTAACGCGTTTAGGCTGCTTAGGAAGTATCGGGATGATTACTGCACGTTCAACGACGACATTCAGGGCACCGCCTCCGTCGCCGTCTCCGGATTGCTGGCGTCCCTTCGCGTCACGCAGACGAAGCTCTCGGAGAATACGATCGTGTTTCAAGGCGCCGGAGAGGTTGCGATCATGCTTTAGGCGTGATTAAGTTATATGCGAGAATTTCAGTAAATTGTGGACTATTTGTAGGCGTCGTTAGGTATCGCGGCGCTATGCGTGATGGCGATGCAAAAGGAGGGAGTGAGCGAAGAAGAGGCCAAGAGCAAAATTTGGATGGTGGACTCGAAAGGATTGTTAGTGAAGGACCGACCGAAGGGTGGACTGACGGAACACAAATTACGCTTTGCTCGCGAGGACGAACCAATCGACACCCTGTTGGACGTAGTTAAAACAGCCAAGCCCTCGGTCATCATCGGCGCAGCCGCTGTCAGAGGTGCCTTCACGACGGAAATATTGAAGGAGATGGCGCGGAACAACGAAACCCCTGTAATTTTCGCTCTCAGCAATCCAACGAGTAAGGCAGAGTGCACTGCTGAGGAAGCATACATCGCTACAGAGGTACTAAAAATCGGTTGCGCTAATCGGAGGTTTCCCAAATTTTAATTTGAAATATTTTTAGAATACGAATTTATGTGTGTGCAATTTCGCTGCGTCTGTTTAATCAACTGTTGTTTAAATCGCACAGGGGAGATGCGTATTTGCAAGTGGCTCACCTTTCCCACCTGTTACGTATAACGGCAAGACTTTCTATCCTGGCCAGGGTAACAACAGTTACATTTTCCCGGGAATCGCGTTGGCCGTTATATGCGCCGGTATGCGCACCATTCCCGAAGAGACCTTCCTTATTGCGGCGACGGCTCTCTCCGACTTGGTGTCGCAAGCCGATTTGGACAGCGGAAATCTCTATCCGCCGTTGGAGGACATACAGAAATGCTCGATGAGTATAGCTTGCGCGGTCATGAAATATGCTTACGAAAACTGTGAGTGTATTATTATAAATGTTTAAATACCAAGTATTTTGCGTATTTCGTAATGTAAAAAGATAATTATTCTAATTTAATTTTCCTTACCGCAGGCCTGGCGAGTGTCTACCCTCAGCCGAAGGATTGCGAAAGTTTCATTAAAGCGCAACTGTATGATACGAATTATAAATCGTCCATACCTCTGACTTACACATGGCCGAAATTGTAATATTTTTATTCATTTGACGAAGACTTAATCTCGCACATTTTATCGGGGTCCAGGAAAGAAAGCACATAAACGCGTTCTCGGGAATTCTTGGAAACGAATTTCACTTCTCGTATTCCTCTCAAGCCTGTTGATCGGGCTTATTTTATTTAAGGCACTTACGAATGTACCTAATTTATAAGAAAAAAAAAATAAAAAATATTAAAATGCGACAGAAAATTTATAACGCATATAAGAAATCGATGTAAAAATCGACATATTGGTTGAATAGAAAAAAAAATAGATATTGACACTGAATTGAAAGAAATGTATTTATTGCTACTCGAAACATCACTTTTTTGTAGAAGTAGATACCCTCGTTTCACGAGCAGCAGGTAATAACATTTTTATCTTGTAGATGTAGTATAACTAAGATCAAACAAAACTTACACGGATGATACAATTGTGCAAATCAAGGGTGCTTGTGACAAAAAAAAGTAGAACCGCGGTGGTCTTTGCATGTGCACTACACCACTTTCTGTAATATGCGGTATACATTTGATTTAACTTAATTGTCGTAGAAGTATAGAATCGGCAAAAATTTTATTTCATTAGGCCAGAGAAACTCATAGAGTAAAGCGGCAAATACGTTACACGCTCTTCGTTTGCAACGTATCGAAAAATTAAATTTCACATCTGAATAAAAAAAATCGTTGGAAACATTTGCTAAGATAATTATGTATTCTTACGTTTTAAGATGTATATAATTCACAACGATAAATTGGTGATCGTTACTCACACGCTTCCTCTTTCGCTCGCTCGCTCGCTCGCTTTCTCTCGATTTCTGTCAACTCTACCGACGTGTACGCTTTAAAACTACAATTCTTTTTATCACTAGCTCGATACTTACTGCTAGAACACGTCCGTGGTCGTCAATTTAATAACGAACAGATAATTATAAACCGCGGACCCAAAAATTGATCTTTACTCGAAACGCGTTTTTTCCTTTGCGGCTTAATAACATGGTAATAAATTTACGGGACAAAATGTACAGAAGAGCATTTAAAAAATTGTTTATAATTGCGGGACTCTGTTACGCTACACTGAGCAGACACACTGGCCATTGCGCGCCAGTAACGGGGACCTCGTAGCCATTTCGTGATCGATAATCGCGATAAAAGCAAACAGACGTAACTATCAATCAGGGATCTTATCGGTAGCAAGAATTAATCTGATTGCTCGTCGTTGAATGCACCTGAATTAGTCCAAGTTCCACGGCACCACCGCACTACTGCTTTCCCTACGTGTAGTTCCGTACGTATAGTTACGAGAGTTCTATAACATTGCGAACCGAGTCGCGTGAAAATTCCAATTATCAGTATTCATATGTACACGCGCAGTTTCTTGATGTCGGTGTTCGTGCCTCGCCATACGTCATCGGGTCTCGTTGCTACTACGAGAGAAACATGTTTTCATGAAAAGTAATGATATCAGAACGAAGACGTAGGGCAGTAGTGTCGTTGAAAGTGGAGTGTCTGTCCAGCAAGGAGGTCGGTCCCTTTCCTAGCTTCATCGAGAGAGCGAGTGTGATCGTTCGTGAGACTGTTGGGAGTCGCCGGCTGCCCGTGGATCCGGTAATCTCTGGGACGCTGGCAGCGCGTCGAAAAATGGATGTGTCAGTGCGTCCTTCAGAGTAACGCGTTGCGAGGGTTCATATTCCAACATTCTCTGAACGAGATCGAACAACTGACGATGTTCTTCGTCATCGGAGAGCATATAACGCTGCAAACAGATATATGAGAATGTTAATTGCTTTGCAAAATCGCGAATTTCAAAGCTCGTATGAAATTATGCATTGGTTGAAAACCGTTCGATTTTCAATTGGATATTTTCAATATTCGTCTTCTCGTTAACATTTTGCGTCGCGTTCTTTCGTTCCAAAAAATATCATTTTCAGTATAAAAGAATTATTTAAATACAATGCGAGACCTGAACGAGTAGTTTGATACGGGCTTAATCGAAGTCGAAAGAATTGAAATACTAACGTGCAACGGCTTGCAATTGTCTCGCACGTATCTACCGGCCGAGCTCTTGTCGTCCCAGTCCAGTTTGCCGTGGTAGAAGTACTTGGTCTTAGTCTTGCGAGCCATGCGATGCGGTATCGTGCCAAGTATGCGCTCCATCATAGCCAGGTGCTCGCGATTATCGTGCGTTTGGAATAACGTGATGCCCAGGTATAGCTCGAACAGAATGCAGCCGATGGACCAAACGTCGCATGGCTGCGACCAGCCGAGCTCTGCACGCAGAAAACACAACAGCACAACGGTGACGATAATGATATAACGACGCGCGTCCGACCGCGCTTAAGTATTTTAAGCACTCACCTAAAATTACTTCGGGCGCTCTATAGTGTCTTGTGCTAACGATCGTACTGTGATGCTCGTGATCGAAAGTGGCGCTACCGAAGTCGATGAGTCTGATGTCGGTTCGTTTCACGCGTCTCGTGTCCCTCCGCTTGAAAAGGAAGATCTTTTTTAAAACACTTTAGAACGGAAACTTATCCTGTATACCGAATCAAAGTTTGGCAATGTAGTAATTGTCGATATCACGACGGCAGCACACCTTTTTATTGTTATATGTACTGTCGTAGTCCGAGTCGACGAACAAGATATTCTCCGGCTTCAGATCTGTGTGCGTCAGCTTGTTGTCATGTAGAAATTTCACGGCGTAGCAAAGCTGATAGCCCATGTGCCTAACGTGTTCCAATGGATAAGGCTGGTAATTGTTATCCCTCTGCAAAAATAAGTCGTCGTCAGCATCGGATTGATGTTAGTTGAGCTAAGTTGATAGATATACAGTCATCTGGCGTGCAGCTGTACGTACCAAAAAGTCGAAGACGCTCAAGCCGAGCATTTCGAACGCGATGCACATATGTCCGTGATAATTGAACCAATCAAGCATCTTCACGCACAAGCTAGAACGGAACGACGTTTGATTAGCTATCTAACCCTTTCATTAAGCCTCAGTTTATTCCACATTACAATTAAGATATAAATTAAGTTGCAATAGGAAAAGAATTCTTGTGGATTCGAATAGATCGAAGAAGCCGAATAGTTACGTAACTTTATCGCGCAATTGTATAAGAGTTAGAGAAGAAATAAAACTGGATAAGACACTAACTGCTGGCCTTCCGGGTCCTTAGCGGCGATCTTCTCAAGAGCGTTTATCTCCAACTTCGCTGCCTCCCTGTACTTCTCCACGTTCTTAATAATCTTCAGAGCCATAACATGATCCCTGCAATGTTTTCATACGGAAATCATGATTTCCCCGGTATCGGATATCTCGTCGGTCGAAATCCAGCGGCGAGATTAAAGCGCGGTACTTGGAAAATTATTTAAGCGCGCGCGTGCGTGCGATCGTTTCGCAGTGATTTCGCTATTCCGCTAAACAGATCTAATTCGCGGCCGTCGTGAAACGTGCCCGGCCGCGTAAAACAAAGTGCAAGGCCATCCTATTATTGCGACCACTCGCGCGTCATTTTGTGACAGTGCCGGGATGGCTATTTCTGCTCTCTCTCGCCGCCCGAAAGCACACACCGGTTGCGAGTCGTCGTAACGCGCGCATTTAGGATTTTCCTCAACCGCAAAACGACGATGACGCCGAGGGAAGAGAGATATCCGACACGGTGGCGAGCGCGCCCACGCGCGCGCGCGCGCGAGAGAGAGAGAAATAAATAAATAGAGATGTACGATGTGAAGAGAGAGTGTAAAAAACCGATGCGCGAGACGCAAGGTAAATTACCAATACCTACTTATGTGAGCTGACACTTACATTTGTAAGTCCTTAACCTTGACAACTTTTCCAAAAGTACCCTCTCCTAGGGTGGCCAGTACTTTATCTGCAATGCAAAAATCGGGGTAAATGTCCAGCGGATACGAGCCGCACGACCCGACGGAGAGTGCTCGCCTGCGTTGACCGACCGGGGCGGCGACGATCCGGGGGCACCCTCTCGCTCACCTTCAAGCGAGTGCCCCCCCAGTCCGCTCTCGTCGCTCTCTTTTAGATAAAAGGGGAAAAGAAAGGCCCGCTCAAGGAGAACCGTCGCGCTCGAAAGGTTAATATAAAAAAAGAAGAAAAAAAAAAAGAAAAAACGATAGGAAGAGGGGGGAGAAAAGAACGAAGAAACGCGGGCGAGACTCTTCCGCGTGGGCGTTCGGCCGGTCGTGTTATCGCCGTTTATCGCATGTATAACACGCGCGCGCGCGGTTTATGGTGAACGGAATAACGAATAAATGAAGAACGGTATCGTGGAGTGAAACGAGATATCGATCGGATACTGTTGCTCTCCTATAAAAAGGCCCTAAACGGGTATACAGCCTAACTATATGTACGAGCGCGCCGGACGTGGCATTTACTGTCGATCGGAGGTGGAGCACTCCTCCTCCTCCTCCTTCTTCTTCTTGTTTCGTCGTTTAAGCGACGCGTAGGCGATGAATTAAAGAGAACAAGACGCGAAGATTGAAAACAAGAGTACGCGGGCGGGACAGTAAATGCCAGACGTCCTCGCGCGCAGGTAATAAGAGCGTGGAACACATCATCCCGAGGAGGACATATCGAGGAGATAGCGCAAGCGGGCTTTCGCCGTCTTTCGTTATCGTCTCTGCTCCCTTCCTCCGACTCTCTGTTGTCTCCCGCGCCACCCTCGCGCATCCGCGCGGGGATCTCGCGAGGGGGATGCGACTCGGTTCGCGATGGAGAAAAAAAAAAGAAGCTTTTGCGCCGGCTTCCCGATAAACGTCGTCGTCGGGTCTGACGGGTTTCCTTTTACGTGCTGTTGAGACTCGTGGTGACTATATATGTTACTTATATCTTTCTGAAATTAAATAATCATACATAAGGCAGACAGACAGGAAGTGACTGCTACTTTTTTTTTGTTTGTTGCTTTTCGCGTGTTCGCGGAATCAGCGCGCGATGAAAAAAGTCTCAGTGTCCGAAAAGATCGATGGGAAGAATAATCTCTCGATCTAGACAGGGAATCGCGCTTAACGTGTCTAACAAATGTATTGCACGAGTAAGTGGTTTCCATACATATATATGTATATAGTATAGATGCGCGTACGTGTACACTGAACAGCGGGGCTCAGTGAGAACATGAACACATCGATAGTGTGATTAACGCGTGAATTGTTACTCTTGTCGTGGTGTAGATATTGTTTCATATATATATATAATGCCTATAAATTTTAGGCAGGGAGAAGTGAAAGAGTGAAAGAAAGAGAGTAAAAGAGAAAGAGAGCAAGAGAGAAGTAGAAAGAAGAGAAAGAAAAAGAAAGATAGAGGAAGAGAGACAGAGAGTATGGGCAGATACCGTAGATAACCGATCGATCAATTAATCGACCTGAGGCTTGCTTAAATCTACTACAATGAGTGTATTCACGTATTCACGAACATCTATTTGCCAGGATGTCGCCGGATTGGTATACAAGGTGGCCGTCTTCGTCGTCCTCGACGGAGGGCGGTCGTGGGCTCTATTTGGGCCGGCGGTATCGGTATCGGCGCGTTGGCCAAGAGTTGGACCCCAATACGGTATCCCGGTTCGCGTTGTTCCAATTCGGTATGTCGTCGAAGTGGATGCGTGTATCCCGCAGAGAGTGGCCGTGGACGATGATCCGCCGATTCCGCATCCCATGGCAGTCCACGTGGCAGCATGACGATATGGGGGGGGAGGGTAGGGGCTCCCAGGTGAGACGGCAGCCGTGTCAACCGAGTCATCACATCGTGTCATCCGTCACCGTCCATCACCACCACCGCCGCCGCCGCCGCCGCCGCCGCCGCCGCCGCCGCCGCCGCGAGTCGGCGAGGACCCGTGTAACACGCGGCAGAGGACGTGTGTAAGCACGTGGACGAACGTACGAGTGTGTCGGTGGGGGTAGGAGGGTAGGATAACATCGTCACCGTCATCGTCATCATCGAGAGTGAGATGCCAACCCGATCCGAGCGCCCGGTCGACCATAGAGTGTGTGAGACCAATCCGTGTGTGCCATATCCGTTTCCGTTCCATTCCATTCCATTACAACGGAGATGGTAACCCAACAATCAGAGAGAAAGGGGAGAGGGCAAAATGGTTTGCCAAGTCAGAAAGTTGCGGTTACGAATTTACCATTCGGCACAAAGCGCATACTATGTATTCTTTTTTTTTTAATTTATTTATTATTTTTTTTAATTATTATTATGCTTTTCTTTATTTTATCTTTTTTGCGTTACCTTTTCGCCGCAGCGTTTTCTTATTTTTAAATTACTTATCCGTTTTTCTTTTTTTCTTTCTTTTTAGTTTTTATCTCGCTCGCCTATTACTCGTTAATGTACTCGTGTTAGACCTGGTATATGCGTGCCTTGAAGGAGCCGTCTCAAAAAGCCGCGCAGTCGGCCCTACGAACTTAGAGCCCTTCATATACGATACGAAACGACCATGAATTCACATTCTAAAACGTAGGCAGATAGAGAAAAAGCAGAGAGAGAATCATGTGCGTTATGTATATGTACAAACCGCGGCAAGGCTACATGGCAATGATTTTATGAACAATATATATATATGTATACATATTGCATGCGTCTCTACTGTATTTGGTTTCAGCGATTTTTTTTTTTTTTTTTTTTTACGAATAATACAACGAATTGTTCTCCATTTACCCGGATCCCAATCTCGGCGAAGGACAACTAAATAAAAAATAGAATTAAAAAAAAAAAAGAAAAGAAAAATTTATGGACGACCGGACAGCTTCTTCGAAGTGCTCGTAACACGTTAACCTTTTATCTAACACGTTCGGAGAGAGGTAGCTTTGTTAAATAAACTTTGTTAATTGCTTGCTTAAACTCGTCACAAGTACTTACGTGTTCACGCGAACGGTTGCACCATGATGATCGATCAAATCTCTCTCGATCCTCATGAAACATGACCGTCGCGAGCGATTTGCACAGCGATTTAACCCGATCGGCGTGTCTTTTTTTTCTTTTTCTCTTTTTCGACCCTACCTTATCGAGAATATACCAACGCGAGCCGATCGTCGTTTTGGATCGTCAATCGCTACTATTTTGTCATTTCTATATACGGTAAAACAGAAAAAGAGAAGCAGCGCCGCGTACTCTTTCGTATTCCATTGGCGATCAGCATCAAAATGGGTGCACAATTTCGGACAAACTGTTATTATCTTTGGATACAAATCGGATATCGTGCCGAGGTCTATTCGAATTCTCTATCACGTGCCAGCTTTAACTATTTAATCAATGTATCAGTAAATACTTTCGATATATTTTCAAGCCAGATAACCGAATCGAGCCTTAGCGTAAACACAAACAGCATCCATATCGTAAGTGTATATCTTAGGTATGGAACGTGACTCTCAATCCCCGAGGAACTGACAATGTTACACTCGCGGGTCGTCGATAAGGTAGCTCGAGGTACTCTCACGGCAAACATTTGGCAGACGTGCGGAGTTTAGCTTATCAAAGAGAGCGAGAGGCGGCGATAAACTACACACTACGGTTAATGGACTTTTCGGCGATTAGCGCGGACGAACTCCGCCCGCGTGACATCAGACAGCGCGAGTGTGTTCTGCGCGGGGAGGAGGTGCCGGAATGAGCGAAGGAAGGAGTTCAACACCGAGCTGCGCGACTTCTCGCACACAGATACACAAACCACACGCATACGCGCGGCCAGGGAAGAAGAGACAAGACAACGGACACGCTCTGCTTAAAACGACGCCGCTTTCGCGAGCGCGGAGAGGAGGAGCCGCGGCTCGACAACTTACAATCGCGCCGTGGATCGCGTCCACCTCGTTAATCGCACTCGCGCCCGAGGAGGCTACCGTGCCCCTCGACGGGTTGTCTTTCTGCTGATTACGATGGCTGCTTTTCTTATACTTGCTGGCGATGAGATCGGTCGTACTGGGATGCGCGTTCACCTGTCCGCCGCCGGACGCCAGCTGGCTGTAGGTGTCCTCCATGGCAGCGTACTTTAGAATCAGACTCTGAATCTCTTTGCGTTTGGCCGCACGATCAGAGATCGTCGGATCGTCCGCATCGTCGGCTAGCGCGTCGCGCGAGTTCCGAGCGACGTTCTGGCCGACGACCTGGTCGTTGAAGCTCTCCGTGTTGGCGATCGGTGTCCTGTCCGGGTCGACCGCGATATCCTTCCGGTCCGCGTACGTCGACGGATCGATCTTAATCGGCCGAGACAGCCTGAGGGACGTCGAGTGAGCGGTCTCCAGCTGCTCGCTCTTGCCGTTCCGACGCAGCCTCACTTTACGACTGCGCGTTTCCGCGTGTCCAGACTTGTGTCTACCGTAGCGGCGATAAGCGTCCGAGTTGAGTAGAATCTGCCGGTCCATGCGGCCGTAGGCGGGCGTCTTTTCGCGCCTGGATTCCTTGCTTATCGCGGAGCTCACATACGGGTAAGCCTTCTCGCTGAGAAGGACGCTGGTGGGACTCTTGATGACGCTGCGGGTCATCGATGGCTCGAGAGTCTTGTCGTCCCGCACGAACGGGCTGTCCTCCCGATGATAATAGCTGTGATCGCGCTCCTGTCGCCGCGTGTAACCGCGAGCGCCTCGTTCCTGCGAGTCGTCGGCCTGCCGCTTGCCGGAGTACTTGTCCAGAATCGTGCTGTACTTGTCCTCCAGGCGACTCCGCGTGCTACCCAATCGGCTCGTGTCGGGCGTTCGTCTCGCGGTTGCGGCACCGCGATCGTTGAGCGCGGATGCCCCGCGTACCCGCGTGGTCAGCTTCTGCAGGAGACTCGTGCAGGAGTCGCTCAGCAGTTGCGTCACGCTCGTCGTGGTGGACGCGCGCGCGTAACGACTCCGTCGCGAGGTCGAGCCCTGTCGAGAGTTCGACATTGTGTCGCGCGGCGCGAATATAAACATCTGGAACAGCTTGAAATTGCCACCGAATCGCGAAGCTTACGAAACCCCCCAAGTTTCCGGGTTAAGAAAATCGACGAGTCCTCAAGCTCGTTCCGTTGGATCTTGCGAGGCGACTTCAGCGCGACATGCCCGAGCCTCGACTTCGGCCGAGTCGTGCGAAGAGAGAGGCCGCGGGAGCAATCGTAGATGAAGACACCGAGGCTGACGAAACAGTTTTCTACGCAGGTACATCACTACGGAAGGGCGCGAGTACGCCGAGATGGACGCGCGAGAGGAACGCCGTCGAGGAAGACACTAAACTATGACCACGACGACGGTCAAGAGAGACGACGACGGCGACGACGTCGGCCGTTCACGAAGACGACAACGACGACGACGACGACGACGACGACAACCACAACGACGACGAGGAGGAGGCGAGACTCGGTACGCCCCGCCAAATACTCTCTCGCACTAAAAATACCAAGAAGCGGTGGTGAGCCCGCTCCGACGAGAACGATTCGTCCTCCACTCACGAAACCGACTCTTCGAGAGCGATCAGAAGCGGAGCGAGAGCGAAGAGAGAGAGGCTGATTAGCGCGTAACTCGCACGGCGAAAGAGAGACGCGCGAATAGAAATAGAGGAAGCGAAGAGAGAAGAAGTGCAGGCGGAGAGAAGAGGAGAGACAGGTGAAGAGCGAAAGGGAGGAGGGATCATCGCCGTATTACGTAAATTGTCTCGCGCTTATTCGGAACGCGGCAAAGTTCCGCACGCGCGGCGTATCGACATCAAGCTACGCCGCGCCGTGCTTCCTGGTCCACGAAGAGACCTCCTCGCGGACGCGCGGCGTCACGGGAAAACGCATCGACGAGCGTATGGCGCCGCGCGTTTTCACGCGCACCGCGTCGCTCTCGTACCTTGACACACATAGAAATTGCGAAACGGCCGCGACGCCAATTCGATGTAGAGTAGGTCTTGCTGCGCGGCCCAATATTGGTCACTCAGTTAACAATGTTGGCACCTTTTTTAATAGATGATATTGAGATGAAAGAACGGCGTTGTGTTTGCTTTAGCGCGAAGCGGAAAATCCTATCCGCAAAAAATAATAAGAAACAATGAGAAAAAATGATATACAATTAGATACTGCCTGAGGCGGGAAGAAGCTATACAATTACTGTAATTAGTACTGTAATTAATTGAATTATGTATCTGTATGAATTCTTTTTTGAGAAATTTTTTCGGGATTTTGCGTTTGCTCGCTTTAAATATAACAAGATAAGAGCTTTCTGAAGATTATCTAAAGGAAAACTGTAAAAGCAACGCTAATATCTTTATCAGTTTACAAATTAAAAATACACTATATCACGATAATTTGTTGTAATAGAATATGCACATCATATTTAACGCAATATAATTAATTATTAATATTAAACAATGATATTTATTAATAAAAAAAATATCCTCGAATAAATTTGTGTAATCTAATTTAAAAATAGTCAAAACCGGTCAAAATTTTCATGTAAATTAAGTATTGAAAATCCTGCCGATAATTCATGAAATATTAAAAGCTTAGTGTGAAGTCTAGCTAAAATCAAAAGCACTTGATTAACAGATTGGTAGACAAATTTGTGGACTCTAATACTATTAATAAAGTTCGAGTTGATCTTCCAAGGTTGTCAAGTCGAAGATATCGTCCTGTCGCAAATTTTAAATCCGAGTATCAGTATAAATACACGCAGTTTACAAAATAATGACGCAGTTTGTTCGCCCACAAATACCACTTCGGTTTCGGAATCATCACCAAAATATTTTCTGGCGAGCTAACTGATTAATTTGGCTCGAGTCAGAAATCAGCCTATTTAAAAATATAGATACGTATAGATACGTTCGTTTTATCGGAATAAAAATAAACAAATTAAATATCATCTAACATAGCTGTTCAGATAATAAGTAATCTTGAACAAAATTTCGATCGAAATTCTCTCGTTATACAAATAACGTCGAGAGTGAAGGCAAATATAATACTAATCACAGAAGATTGATAACAATCGAGATAGCGGAGCAGTAAGAAGAGTCTAAATGTTAGCCAACAGATCATTGTTATCGCCACGAGAATTTCACTTAGTGAATCATACGCCATCGTATCGCGAGGAATCCTCCTACCGAATCATTCGCGTCGCGATAAGCGGAAGCGCCAACACCGATCCGAGCTATGAAAAGTTACGCGTGTCTCTTCCGCTCTCTACCCTGCGAAAATATTGACCAAGGTTAGGCCGCGCTATCAAGTTAAAAACAGAGAGGATGATGGAGGGAGGCAGGCGCCGCGCTGGAGCGATTTGTTTCGTTCTCCAAGTTGCGTCGTCGTCGTCTTCGAGAGAGAGAGAGAGAGAACGGGCTATGCCAAATATAAACCGGTAGTCTGAAACGCGTGCGCCATGATCGTCATTTGTAGGGAAGATCAACTCGTCGTCCGCACGCCGCGTTTAAATGTTAAAGTCCTGGCCGGCTAACCACAAGCTCGGCAGGCTCGCATCGTGTCGGCGTTGCTGCTGCTACATGGCGAATGGCCAACAGAAATTTACACGTACGTTCTGCATGTAAACCCCCTTCATCGAGAGAGATATAATTTGTTTGTGTTTCTTTAAAGCTGTCCGAAGTATTTTCAGTAATAAACTTACAATTTTTTAACATCGAAACTAATAAACAATAATATTTAAAGTTTGAAAGAGCTGAACCTAGGTTCAAATTGGTCACAGCTACTTTCTCAAATATTTCGACTGTTTTTCTGACTGTGAATTTTCATGATACAAAATCGGCCTCGATTCCTCTTCCATGCATAAGGAAAAGATTGGGTTGGAGATTGGGTCTTAAGCAAACAAGTGCAAAAAACGAGCACGAGCAACGCGCATGTACAACCACACGCACTCGGGGAAGCATATAATCATGGAATGCCGTGATGCTGTACGAGGATCTCGATGCTTGGTGCTACCTCGGAGGTCGATGTATCGTTAGTTTCGGGCGTGACGTCGAGTTTAGTGCCGAACTCCCTGGTAGTCTCGGTGACGTTGCGCTGCAACCACGCGTCCCAGTCGTGCCGCGGCAACCAGGGAACGCTTCCCGGCATCAGCAGACGCAATTCCTGACTCGCGATTGTTTGAAAGGACGACGACGACGACGACGACGCGGCCGGCGGTGGACCACCGTCGGCCAGGCCGCCGCCGCCGCCGCCGAGCGCGGTCCAGCTTCCAGGATCCAGATTGACGGCGCGCACGGGACACGATATGGTTTCAGCTCAGACACACCTATACACCACGCGTCGCGTCTCACGAGCACATCTTGCCAACTGCAACGCGCGTATTTCTAAATCCAGGTTGAACAATTCTGGGTCGCCGGCCGTGCCACCAGGTTTCGCGCGACGAAGAAACGGAATCGACATTCGACTCACGGGATACTCGAACGTCTCGTATTCAAAGTTGGAGCAACAATTCTCCGTAGAACAATTCGTAATTTTTGCACTTTTGAAATCCGAAAGAACGGTCGAAATTTCATTCGATCTAGAAATGCGAAAATACTTTCGATATTGACAACTTGATCGAAAAGTGGCGCTTAGATATGAAAGCAGGTCGAAAGACGCGCCAAGTTAGATTTGATTGTCTCGAATCCGAACTTGCTGGCGAACCGGCAACGTGAAAGCTATCAGTTTTCAACGGATCGACCTGCTTGCCGGCACAACGTTCCCCGACGACGACGACGACGACGACGACGCGCGACGGCGGCGACGTTGCGTTGGCCATCTGGCGCAAACTCGCACTAAAACCGCGGCGAAACTGCGTGACGAGTCCCCCTCGAAAATAGTCGCCGGTCGAAAATAGCCGGCGTCGAGTAAGAAAGAAGAATCATCGGCATTCGGCTCCGGGTGTACACCCGGCGTGCCCGTTGCGCCACGAGTTTCTCCAGAGACTGTTCTCGCTTGGTGAAGCGCGCCGATGCGCTAACTCCTCTCCCTCTGTGTAATCTGCTCGTCTTCACGCTTCCACGTATCGATCATCATCGAGGGTCTCTCCGCCACGCATCGAAGCTCGATAAGTAGCATAAGAACTAGTTCGGACGCTTAATGCATCGAGGAGGCTGGATTGCGTTATCAAAAGCCAACTCGGAAACTAAACTCTTCGCAGATTGTTTTCGCGCTTGTTCCATTTCGCACAGATTATTATCGTTTGCTTCGAAACTTGATACGCAATAGAAGAAGTACACGAAACCTAGTCTAATCTCTTCCCCAAGCAGCACGCACTATACATAGAAGCTTGGTTTATTGTGAAATTTTATAGCGGCATCATTCGTGATGATAAAATTGATTCAATCGCTTCGTAAAGTTCTTGCATCATTCGACAAACAGCATAAAAATCTGATATGCAATAAAAGTGGTAAGAAATGCGAAAAACATGTGAAAAAACGTTTATAAATAAATAGAAAGAGAGAACCGTTCGATTATTTTTAGAGTTTGCCGTGAGAGTTCCTACGAAGTTGTAAGAGAGTACGTTCCATACATAAAGAAATTATTTTTCAAACTATCTTATACATGTACATATATGCATTTTAAAAGGAGATGGATATACCTTTGAAAAATTACGGAAAGCAATTCTGACATAATTTCTATTTCCTCTTAAATATAGAAAGCTTTGTAAGATATGCATTCCTCCTTTTTACTCGAGTTAAATTATTTGACGGATTTAAGACGGTTTTTAAAAATAAGCTTGTACCAAAATAATATCCGCTCAGCGGGACTTTCTTTGATAACGTTGCCAATAGAATACGACAGAGTACGAAGGCGTCTGCCAATGTGTATGTCTTTGTAGAACAGGGATGGAAGGTATGATCGGATCGACTGTTCGTAGGTCATCGGTCGTGTGTCGCGTATCACGCGGCGCTGTACGATTATAAATGGCAGGCGGGAACGCGTAATACTGATGCCACTATATATACCGTATTGTCCCCCCGGACTCACCTGACTCCTGGTGGA